GCCCGTCCCCCGAACCAACCAACCAACGCGGGGGATCCGCTCGGCGAATTCGAACGAGCGCCCCGCCCCCTCCCCCGGCCCGTCCGGCCGCGGCGGCGACGAGGGCGGTTGGAAGGGTCACGTGCGGCGCGGAGGGGGCGGGGCCTGGACCGGAAGCGGCGAAGGGGCCGTTAGAGCATTTTGGGAGAGGGGGCGTCATTTTCCGCTTCCGGCGGGGATGCGGTGCCATGGCGAGCAACGCCGCCAGCCTCAACGCCGTGCGGGAGACCATGGACGGTGCGTGCCCGGGGCGGGCCCCGCGCGGCTGCGGCGCTGCCGCCTGCACCGCCCCTGGGAGGGGCCGTGGGGCCGTTATCTGCCCGTTAACGGAAGCGACTGCCTCCTCCGTGAGGAGGTTTAGGGCATGCAAACGGTGCTTCTCCTTTCACTTCGTGAAACGCATTAAGCACCATCGTAGCGTTCTGGGACCTCACGAGGGTGTTTTTACCTGCTAGGCGTTTTATCAGGCACATTTTTTTTTCTTAGAAAATATATTCTCTATTTCTCTGCTTGTCCCATGGTATAATTAGTAAGAGCTATAGTATCTGTCTCTGTGCATCTTTTTGAATTCAGGGGAGGAGATTGTGGGGAAGGGAACAGAAAAACCTCCCCTTAGGGGTTGTGTGTGGCAGCCTCTGACCTGATCTTAACCCTAATGTTGTGTTTCTGTGAGACATGATGGCTAACTGATTTTTGTTTGTTTTCCCTCAGAAATGCAAATTATATGCAGTGGGGGGAAAATCACACAGGTCTAAAGGGAGAGTGTCTTTATGCCCTTGCATTAAGCAGTGAGATCAATATGCAGCGCTTAAAGCTTTGCTGTGAAAGGTTTTGAGGGCAGTCAGGGTTGTGGAGTAGCTTCTGAAGCAAAGAGGTTGACTCTCCTGGGTGAAAAGGAAAATGGTCCTTGGAACAGTGAGGGATTATGCAGAGATCTGTAAGATTCAGCTGATAATCAGTTGTTAGTGTCTCTTCCAGCCCTACTGTAGGGTATGAAAGCCGGGAGGTGGCATGTGCAGGTTGTGCTTCTTAATGAATCATAAAACTGGAATTCTTTGGAACAGATGCTGAAAAATTACATGTGCTTTAGGTTGGGCAGAAAGTTTATGAGCAAGAAATCCTTTGAGAGTTGTTACAAAGACTCTAGAAATGCTTTCAGGAGAGCATGGATGTTTAGGGAAGGTGTTCAAGGGAGGTATCATTTAAAAAATCTCTTGTTATCCAGTTATGGCTACTGTTCCATAAAGATTTCTCAGCAAAGACCTCTGAGTTGTGTACTGGTGTGAAAACACAGCTCAGCTTCTGAGCTACCAGCTCATGTTCCTGCTACTGGAGCCAAGGAAGGACTAGCTGCTTTACTGATGTTCAGGAAGATGAGACTGTTCAGTGACACTGAAGAGGTTTATTTGTGAAGGATGATGTTAGTGAAGTTTCCTGCCTGTGCTTTGTACCTGCCCTTTCTCTGCTTCTGCGGGGATATTTTAGGTGATAGTGACAGCGTGCAGAACTGGAGACAAAATAAGATGTGCAAGGTTACTGGCCTTTAGATCTGGGAGCCCAGGCTTCCTGTGTAGCATGTACACTTTATTTAGGGTGGACATTCCCAACTTAATCTCCTTCTGAGGTCAAGTGTTTCAGGAGGAAAATTATTTTCAGTTTTTTTAAGCATAGGCTATATCTGATATTTAAACATGTACTTTAAGGGAGTTTCAAAAATAACCATGGTTGAACTCCTACTGCACTCAATTAGAAAATCAACCCTTAAATTATCTTGAGGATCTTTATGCTGCTCAAAAGCCTATAAGAAAAATATATAAGAAAGAGAGCATATAGTGGAAGCAAGTGTATTAAAAAAGAAAAATTCTTTTATAATGTAAGCAGTTAAATATGTAAAATGCTTAATCATCTGGAATGTTAGATATAAATATCTAGCTGTTATCTGCAGGTTGTCAAAAGCTCAAATTTTTTCCTCAAGGAAACTGATATGCTGCCAAAGGTGCTGCTTCAACATCTAAAGATATTTCCTATTGGAAGCTAATGTTTATACAGTATATTCCTAGTCAATTTTGTAATTAAACTTTGTCTGTTCTTTAGCACTTAATGTTCAGTGTTATTTTATTACAAATTCAATAGATTCTTGCTTAGGATAGTATGATGCAGACAGGTGCATGTGTAATATTTGTAAAGGTAGGGTTTCAAGCCATCCTGGGGAGAAGGTTTCAAGCTAGTGTGTTTCAAGCCATCCTGGGGAGAAAGAAGCTTTGTGTAATGTCCCTTACTGTGTTTGGTTTGACAAATGGCTTTCATGTCTTAAATGTGCGTGTTTCTTAATCCAAACTACTTCTGGGGGGCATTATCATACTTATTTAGTGGAAGTCAGAGGGTTTTTCCGTAGCACTTGCTATGATATTATAGTTTACTTTTGCTTATTGTTAGTGTTAGAGGTAAAGCACGTATTGAAGGAGAAGAGCAAGAAAGTTCCTGATGTTCTTTTAGGTTTAAGAATGGTCTTTCAGTCCAGTTACGTAGTACTCTGAGCGAGTATCCAGAGTTCAAAAGCACATACTACATAGAAGGTAGACTGTAAAGCATTGTTGTCAAGCCCTTTGTTGAATTTTTCACTTTTTTTGAGAGAGAGACTTAAAAGAAAAAATCAAGGATTAAGCTCTGAACCACACAACTGTGATATTTACTTCAGAAGCTGTGGTGTCCAGCTTACACTGTGAAGCTGCTCGTAAATGTTTCTTCTTGGGAGTTAAACTGCAAAGGCTTTCTGCTAATTGCCTTAATCAGATTCCACTCTAGAAGTTAGATGTTGGTGAATAGGACTTTTGAGCATTTAAACTTTAAGGTCTGTAGGGATTAAACTGTTTCTGCTTTTTGTGTCACAGTTCTGTTTGAGATTTCAAGATTGTTAAACACTGGCTTGGATATGGAGACCTTGTCCATTTGTGTACGGCTTTGTGAACAGGGGATAAATCCAGAAGCATTATCATCTGTTATTAAAGAACTGCGTAAGGCTACAGAAGCTCTAAAGGTAATTCTGTTGTTTAACAGTTTTCTGCATAAAACTTGCTTTCAAAAAAAAAGTCAGATCTGTGTTCAATTTGCTACACTTCGACATGTAGGATCTAAGATTTCTTTTTAAAACAACAAAATGAACTGTTATCCTTAAGGGCAATTAATATGATTGAACATAACATGATGTAAGAAAAGTATACTTTTTAAAAATAAATATAAGCTCTTGTTTATACGTATTTTATGTTAATGTACATGCTTAAAGGTGTCCATATGCCCGTTTAACTTTGTGAACGTAAGTAAATGTGAGAGCTATTTTGTTTCTTCCTCTTTCCTAGTTTCTCACTCGCATTGCTCTCCATTGCCTGTTTGTCTCATAATTGGCTAAAAATTTACATTTGTCTGTCTACAACATTGTTAATGTACCTGGTTGGGGGTTTAGAGTAACACCATTACAGAAATACTGACTGCCAACTTTGAGGGAGTAAATGGCAGTTATGCAGTGTGGTTAATGTCATTCTTTTCTAAAAAAAAATGGTGTAAATTTATCTGTGAATGGGAGTACTGTTTGTTATTGATTGCATGAAGAATTAAACTCCAAAGAGAATAAAGTACTTTTTGAGTACTTTTCGAATGCATTAGAGCAAAACATCCAAGATGCAGGATATTCAGATACAATATACACAAAATTTAACACGGGCAAAACAGGTAATGTGTGTGTTAGTAAAGGCTAATGGGAGTTAGCAACTGTATATTTAAAACATACAGAAATATTCATTGCGAAACAATAGAGCACATCTTACAAAATTATAAATAGGTATTAGACTTTAAGTACTCTAGGTCAAATAGCTGTAAGGAAAGACTCTGTGTGCTATTTTATCTACATGGTGTCTACTTTTTATGGCTTGTTTGCAATAAATAGTGTTTCTGTTTCTAGGCTGCTGAAAATATGACAAGCTGACAAGAGAGATTTCTTCTTGAGATGAATGTTAAATTGTAGAATTAACAGAGGATTTGAAGATGATATTCAAGAAGAGTTGGAAGATTTTCTATTCAGAAATACAAAATGAAGTTGTATGTGTGAAGGTTTCAGAATGTTTCTGTAATCTTCTTGAAAAGGATGATGTACAGAATAATTTTATTGTAAAATTTTAATAAGATAAACCTGCCAGTAATCTCATTACACTTTATTACTTGGTGTTTCTGTGAACCATGTGTAAATATAGTGCTAATGTTTTTCTTCCACATCCAGTATTTTTAAACTATGTAAAATACTGCATGCTCACTGAGCTTACTAGTGTATAGCCACAGACATAGTTATAATGAGTAGCGCTTGTTAATGCATCCTTTAGAAGTGCTAATATATCCCAGTTTTATCTTTTGCATTGATGTGAAACTACATATACAGCTTTAGCTTTTCTTTATGGACAAGATACAAATGAAGACCCTCCTTGCTTGATTTTAATTAGAGTGTGAGAAATAATGCAGTGACTTAAGTCTCCATTTGAAAACAAGAAATAAAGCACTTTTGATAATGAAGATAATGAATTCTCCTTTAAATTTACACTGTTGAGAAAAGTACTTTTAACTTGGATTGGAAAAGAGACTCAGTACAAGCTGAGATGTGTCGTAAATGTGGGTTCTAGAGTACACAGTATTTTTAAAACTACTTGGTTTATACTTGTGTTCTGCATACAAAAAATACTGAAATATAGCCTAAAATATTAAGGCTGTATTAAGTCAGAGCACACATGAGAGCAGTCACATCTGGTTGACAAGATCTCAGTCATATGATATAGGAAGACGCGCTCATTCAGCAGTAAGAATCGTTGCTGATAGTAAGTGGTTTTAGTATATACAGTAGACTGTTTATCATGTTGCCATGCAGGGCAATATCCTTGCATCTGAAAATTTGACTTTTTAATAAGAGCTATTTTCTTATATTTTCTCTCAACTGTTGTTCAAAAAAAATTTTTTTTTGTTGATATCAGTATCTTCATGGGTAACCAGTAAGTGTAGTATGTTAATGGGATCCAAAGTAACCTCTGAGATTAAAGGGTGGAGCGCGTATGGAAATGAACATGGAATATTAGTTAAGCCAAAACTTTTTTTATTAAAGGAGAAGAAAAAAAGGAGGTTTGTACTCTTGAGTTTACATTTTATGAACTCTAGGGAGGTCACAGCTCCACAAAAGCTGATTAAGCAGGCCAAATACTTCATATTGCTGGCAAAGAGATTAGAAAAATATTTATACTGCACTGCATCATTTACTGGTATTTCCAGTAACATCATTACAGAAAGATGGCTCTGGAAGCATAGGATAGCACAGGATAGAGCTGCTCATTAACCAGCCTGTGGGTTTTATAAGTAGTATCATTTAGTCATTTATGAAACAGCTCTGAAAACTTTCTGTAAACTAGCAAATACGTTCAATCATTCTGCAATCATATTAAAGGGCATATTATTTTTAGTGCTTCTCCCCTCTTCCTTCATCACCACATTTGAGTGGTAAACTATTTCTTGATGACCTCCCTTGAGATGACTGTCTTGAAGATTTTACATTTATGTTTCCAGTAGTATTTTTAACTTTCATTATGTTTAGGGAAAGCTTGAAATCAGATTGTGTCCTTTAATGTTTAACACCAACTTACAAATGCAATATGAGAAAAAAAGATTACATTTAATTCTTGTGTCTGTCAGAGCCAGTTGTACCTGCTGTTTTCCATCTATAAGCTTACTATTTTCATATACTATGTAGAGCTGTTTCACAAAGTTACAGAGCACAGTATGTTTTAAAAACCCACTGTGGCAGATGTAAAGCAAAAAATACATCATATTTTCATTATTAAGTGGACCTAAATGGTAACATTGTTTTGACTTAATATTTCATATTTATAAAATAAAATGCAAAGCTTTTAAAGTTGAGTGCTTAAATATTTGGGCTCAAGGCAGAGAATGGTTTCTTCAGGCTGATAGATCACTGGTTGCCTGGGAAGTGCCTCAGCACACCTTGCAAAATTATTTTCAATATACTGAGCAGAACAAATGTTTTTAAGGACTTGTGTAACAGAACCTCAGGTTGATATTGCTTTGAGGTACTTTAGACATTTTTCTCCCTGGGAAGAAAAATTCCTATGGTAGGGAGTTTCGTACTAGAAACACTTCAGTGCTATAAAAACAAAGTTTGTAGCTTTGTTAGCATCTTCTCTCAGTATACGTGAACTCAAGCTTAGCATTGGTGGCTGAGAAGCCTTATGTTGCATTTGTAACACACCCATCCTTACACTACATTTAACTCTTAAGAAGTCAAGAAAATGGCATTTGCACCTTAACTTACACACCTTTTCTAACATACAAGCATCCCCAGGTGGAAGTCTTGCAAAGATAAGTACTAAAAGAGCTATACAGGTCCTGACCAAAGGAGTCAGCCAAACTGACTGCCGTCTGTATTCAAAAAGAAGGTGTTTAAGGTATGACAAGAACAGTGCAAGCATACTTGTTAATTTTCCTCCCAGCTTGCAGAATTTCTTCAATCCTAGGCCCTTCAAAATACTTGTCTATTTAGCAGTCCCCAATGTTGCATTTTCCAGTTTCTCTTACCCAAAAATGCTTCCCGAATAAAAGCAGCCTTTATCAATCTATACACATTGCATAAAGAAACACTTGTTTATTTTGAACATGAATTTTCCTTGATTTAGTATTTGCTGCATGGTAAATCCTTACCTGTCATATTTATGCTCGTCATGATTCTGTAGTTACATACCATATTCTCCTTTAACTTCTTTTCCAGACTGAAATACGTTAGTTCAAATGTTCCTTGGCTAATCCAGAGCATCACAGACCTTTTGTATTTCTTTTACTTTGAAACTTTTCTGGATCTGATACATTATTTTCTGAAAAAATGGACCTGAAACTGCATGTAGTATTCAAAGTGTGACAGACCCTTGCAGTTATTTACTGGCCTTTAGTCTTTTGTTCATTGTTGCCTTTTTAGCAATTCCTAATACTTTGCTTTTAGTTTGCATTGAGCTGATTCCATGGAATTTTCTGTCATAAACACAGGGTCTAACTCTTGAGTGGTGATGATAAACTCAAAGGCTCTTGTTTAATAGGAGAAGTTGTGGCTGTTTCTCCCCATGAACATTATCTGGCATTTTATTTCATAGTCCCTCAGTCTTGTGTGTCTTTCTGCAGTTCTTTATGAGTCAGGAATGTGCCCTTGTGGCCAAGAAGGCCAATGGGATCCTGGTCTGCATGGGAGGAGTGTTGCCAGCAGGTCGAGAGAGGGAATCCTGCCCCTCTCCTCAGCTCTGGGGAGGCCACACCTGGAGTAGTGTGTGCAGTTCTGGGCTCCCGAGTAAAAGAGGGACATTGAGCTTCTAGAGAGGGTCTGGCAGAGAGCTACAAAGATGATTAAGGGACTGGAGCATCTGTCGTATGAGGAAAGACTAATTGAGCTGGGCCTCTTTAGCCTGGAGAAGACTGAGAGGGGATCTTATCAATATGTATAAATACCTGAGGGGATAATGAGGGAGGATGGGGGCAAACTCTTCTCGGTGGTGGCCAGTTGAAGGACAAGTGGTAATGGGTACAAACTGGAACACAGCAAGTTTCACCTGCATGGGAGGTAGAACTTCTTTCCTGTGAGGGTGACAGAGCCCTGGAACAGGCTGCCCAGAGAGGTTGTGGAGTCTCCTTCTCTGGAGATCTTCCAAACCCGCCTGGCTGCCACCCTGTGCCACATGCTCTGGGTGTCCCTGCTGGAGCAGGGGGTTGGACTAGATGATCTCTAGAGGTCCCTTCCAACCTCAGCCGTTCCGTGTGATTCACAATCTGCCTTTATTTTTACGAGCGTAGTTTAATTCAGTGTCTGGAAAAAAGTCTATTGCATTTTTATACAGCAGTTCATAGCAGTTCTTCTGACTTCAGAGTATCTGAAGGGGAGTGTAAAATCCAAGCAAAAGTAACATGATGAAAATAGGAATATTTAGGATAAATATTAGGGATGTTTCTGTCAGAAAGATAAATGGAAGTCTAGTTTCTGGGACATTTAAACATTACCTGATAAAAAAATACTAATAATCTAAACTGGCATCTCAACTGTATCAAGTCTGAGCACTTTTATTATCACTGCATAAATATTCATTTTTTCCTACTTCCAGTTCTTACATATGATAAAAAACAATTCACGAAAATCTTTGAAAGTTATTGCAAGAATCCAAAGACATCATTATGCAGTTGAATGGGTGTGTAATTCTTGTAAATAATTTTTATGAAGAAGACAGAGAAACCCAAACTGGACATACTGTGGTTTACAAGGGAGGCCGTTAGGGAGGCCTCTGACCTGAGGAGGAAGAGGGGGGCAGCCTACCGGGAGGAATAACAGTCAGGGATGCTGAAAAGCATCCCAGTTTGATTGTATAGGATTATCTGGATTCACACAGGAGGCAGAGAAATATCTGTGGCACATACATCGCCTGGTAACCTGGCCTGTGTTTTTAAGTTGATGGAAGGACTGTGCCTTTCAGTGGGAGATCAGCATTAGCTGCAAACCTGCCAAACCTGGGCAGCTGGAGGCTGGCTGGCTGCTCTAGCTAGATGGCATTTCAGTTACGGCTCTCAGTTTGGGCATGCTGAACCAAATTCACTCATTCATTCATGCTGTGCTGCCATTCCTCTTCTGTGACCTATGTTTTCTGCCAACAACATGGGCCACAACTTACCATTTTCCTCCCTCCTCTCCCCCTCGTTGTCTCTCATTAGAGGGGCTCCATGGTTTGCAGTTCACTGTTTTCAAGTTTCCAGTAGTTTCTATGGTATTTCCCTATAATAACCTGGCACTTTTCAGTAAATACTTTTCTGCAAGGGGAGTTGCACAGTACTCTGCATCACCAAACCTGTTCTGTGCTTATCCACCTCTCAGGTGTCTCTAGAGCATTGCAGGGTGCACAAACTGTCATATAGGT